TCAGAAATAGACAGATCAATAGGACAGAAGATCAACAAGGATACAGTAGATTTAAACGACACTATAGCCCAAATGGATCTAACAGATATATACAGAACTTTCAATCCTACAGCTAAAGACTTTACATTCTTCTCAGCAGTACATGGAACCTTCTCTAGGATTGACCACATACTAGGCCATAAAGCAAGTCTCAGCAAATTCAAAAGAATTAGAATCATACGATGCAGCTTCTCAGACCATAAAGGAATGAAGTTGGAAATTAGCAACTCAGGAATCCCTAGAGCATACGCAAACACATGGAGATTGAACAACATGCTCCTGAATGAACAATGGGTCATAGAAGAAATCAAAAGAGAAATCAAAAACTTTCTGGAAGTAAATGAGGATAACAGCACAACATACCAAAACTTATGGGATGCAGCAAAAGCAGTGTTAAGAGGAAAGTTTATATGAATAGGTGCCTACATCAAGAAATTGGAAAAGCACCAAATAGATGAGCTTTCAATTCACCTCATGGATCTAGAAAACCTACAGCAAACCAGACCCAAATCTAGTAGGAGAAGAGAAATAATTAAAATCAGAGAAGAAATCAACAGGATTGAATCAAGAAAAACATTACAAAAAATCAGACAAACGAGGAGCTGGTTTTTTGAAAAAATAAACAAAATTGACACCCCATTGGCCCAACTAACAAAAAAAAGAAGAGAAAAGACCCAAATCAATAAAATCAGAGATGAAAAAGGAAATGTAACAACAGACACCACAGAAATAAAAAGAATCATCAGAAATTACTACAAGGACTTGTATGCCAGCAAACAGGGAAACCTATCAGAAATGGATAGATTCCTGGACACATGCAACCTACCTAAATTGAACCAGGAAGACATAGAAAACCTAAACAGACCCATAACTGAGACAGAAATTGAAACAGTAATAAAGGCCCTCCCAACAAAGAAAAGCCCAGGACCAGATGGATTCACTGCTGAATTCTACCAGACATTTAAAGAAGAACTAACTCCAATTCTTCTCCAACTATTCAGAACAATCGAAGAAGAGGGAATCCTCCCAAATTCTTTCTATGAAGCCAGCATCACCTTAATTCCTAAGCCAGAAAAAGATGCAGCACTGAAAGAATTACAGACCAATATCCCTGATGAACATAGATGCAAAAATCCTCAATAAAATTCTCGCCAATAGAATGCAACAACACATCAGAAAGATCATCCACCCAGACCAAGTGGGATTTATCCCTGGTATGCAGGGATGGTTTAATGTGCGCAAGACAATCAATGTGATACACCACATTAATAGACTGCAGAAGAAAAACCATATGATTATCTCAATAGATGCAGAGGAAGCATTTGATAAAATACAACACCCGTTCATGATGAAAACTCTAAGCAAACTGGGTTTGGAAGGAACATTCCTCAATACAATCAAAGCAATCTATGAAAAACCCACAACCAACACCCTATTGAATGGGGAAAAGTTGGAAGCATTTCCACTGAGATCTGGTACCAGACAGGGATGTCCACTCTCACCACTGCTATTCAATATAGTTCTGGAGGTTCTAGCCAGAGCTATTAGGCAAGAAAAAGAAATTAAAGGGATACAAATTGGGAAGGAAGAACTCAAACTATCCCTCTTTGCAGATGACATGATTCTTTATTTAGGGGACCCAAAGAACTCTACTAAGAGACTATTGGAACTCATAGAAGAGTTTGGCAAAGTAGCAGGGTATAAAATCAATGCACAAAAATCAACAGCCTTTGTATACATAGACAATGCCATGGCTGAGGAAGAACTTCTAAGATCAATCCCATTCACAATAGCTACAAAAACAATCAAATACCTTGGAATAAACTTAACCAAGGACGTTAAAGATCTCTACGATGAAAATTACAAAACCTTAAAGAAAGAAATAGAAGAGGATACCAAGAAATGGAAAAATCTTCCATGCTCATGGATTGGAAGAATCAATATCATCAAAATGTCCATTCTCCCAAAAGCAATTTATAGATTCAATGCAATCCCAATCAAGATACCGAAGACCTTCTTCTCAGATCTGGAAAAAATGGTGCTGAAATTCATATGGAGGCACAAGAGACCTCGAATAGCTAAAGCAATCTTGTACAACAAAAACAAAGCCGGAGGCATCACAATACCAGATTTCAGGACATACTACAGGGCAGTTGTAATCAAAACAGCATGGTACTGGTACAGAAACAGATGGATAGACCAATGGAACAGAATTGAAACACCAGAAATCAACCCAAACATCTACAGCCAACTTATATTTGATCAAGGATCTAAAACTAATTCCTGGAGCAAGGACAGTCTATTCAATAAATGGTGCTGGGAAAATTGGATTTCCACGTGCAGAATCATAAAGCAAGACCCCTACCTTTCACCTTACACAAAAATCCACTCAACATGGATTAAAGACCTAAATCTACGACCTGACACCATCAAGTTACTAGAGAACATTGGAGAAACCCTTCAAGATATTGGCACAGGCAAAGAATTTCTGGAAAAGACCCGGGAGGCACAGGCAGTCAAAGCCAAAATCAACTATTGGGATTGCATCAAATTGAGAAGTTTCTGTACTGCAAAAGAAACAGTCAGGAGAGTGAAGAGACAACCGACAGAATGGGAAAAAATATTTGCAAACTATGCAACAGATAAAGGGTTAATAACCAGAATCTACAAAGAGATCAAGAAACTCCACAAAAACAAAACCAACAACCCAATTAAGAGATGGGCCAAGGACCTCAATAGACATTTCTCAAAAGAGGAAATCCAAATGGCCAACAGGCACATGAAAAAATGTTCAAGGTAACTAGCAATCAAGGAAAAGCAAATCAAAACCACAATGAGGTTTCACCTCACTCCAGTTAGAATGGCTCACATGCAGAAATCTACCAACAACAGATGCTGGCGAGGATGTGGGGAAAAAGGGACACTAACCCACTGTTGGTGGGAATGCAAACTGGTCAAGCCACTATGGAAGTCAGTCTGGTGATTCCTCAGAAACCTGAAGATAACCCTACCGTTTGACCCAGCCATCCCACTCCTTGGAATTTACCCAAAGGAATTTAAATTGGCAAACAAAAAAGCGGTCTGCACCCTAATGTTTATTGCAGCTCAATTCACAATAGCTAAGACCTGGAACCAACCTAAATGCCCATCAATGGTAGACTGGATAAAGAAATTATGGGATATGTACTCTTTAGAATACTATACCGCAGTAAGAAACAATGAAATCCAGTCATTTGCAACAAAATGGAGGAATCTGGAACACATCATGCTGAGTGAAATAAGCCAGTCCCAAAGGGACAAATACCATATGTTCTCCCTGATCGGTGACAACTGACTGAACACCAAAAAGGAAACCTGTTGAAGTGAAATGGACACTATGGGAAACGGTGACTTGATCAGCATAGCCCTGACTGTTAATGAACAACTTAATACATTATTCCTCTTAGTAGTTTTTTTTATCTGTTCTACTTAATATGACTGGTTTAATTCTGTAATTATCACACAGTTATTCTTAAGTGTTGAAAATTAACTGAAATGTGATCCCTGTTAAACATAAGAGTGGGAATAAGAGAGGGAAGAGATATATAATTTGGGACATGCTCAAGCTGACTTGCCTGTGGGGAGCAACTGGGAGCAACTCGGACTAGACTAAGTTACTGGAATTAAGACTTATTCTATGCATCTGCTCTCCCACAATATGGTGCTGGGAGAGGAGAAAAACAGCTTCTACACAGCTGCCTCCAGTTCAACCAATAAACTGTAGGACCTGCTCCTGATTGGAGGAGAGCAGCATACTCGGCGTGTGGGTAGCAGAGTTGGGATTGGGGGAAGAGGACTATAAAGGAGGAGAGAGACAACATGCACCAGGAACATCTAAAGGGAACATCTATCTAAAGGAACACCTGTGCAGCCCCTGAGAGAGCCGGCCGGCGGTGTGCCGCTCCCCCGCGGAAGTGGGGAAAGTGGCTAGGGGGAACCGCCCTTCCACGGAGGTGGAAGGGACGGTAGCCAACCCGGGAAGAACTAGCAGCAAACCCGGGGAGGGCCGAGCAGACAAAAGAACAGCGCAGGGTCCTGTGTCGTTCCTCCACGAAGAGGGGGAGCGACACTTGCCCCAAATGGTAGAGTTAAAAACATACCAGGGGATTCCAATTCAATCCCATCAAGGTGGCATGTACCAATGCCATCTCACTAGTCCAAGTGATCAATTTCAGTTCACAATTGATCATAATGAAAGGACTAAGAGTCAAAGGGAGCACATAAACAAGTCTAGTACCTGCTAACACTTACCGATAGAATAAATAAAGGGGAGAGTGATCCAACATGGGAAGTGAGATACTCAGCAGACTCATAGAATGGCAGATGTCCTAAATAGCACTCTGGCCTCAGAATCAGCCCTAAAGGCATTCGAATCTGGCTGAAAAGCCCATGAGAGTATTTCAGGCATGGAAAGCCAAGACATTCTGGCAAAAAGATCTCTGTGAGTGAGATCCCAGTGGAAAGAACAGGTCTTCAAAGAAGGAGGTACCTTTCTCTGAAGGGAGGAGAGAACCTCCACTTTGACTACGACCTTGTCTAAACAAGATAAGAGTTGGAGAACTCAGAGGGCTTCCATAGCCTTGGAAACTCATGATTGGAGCATAGGGAGATTACTGATGCCATAGACTGGAGTGTCAATTTGTAAAGTCAACAACAGGAGTCACTGTGCACTTATTCCTCATGTAGGATCTCTGTCCTTAATGTGCTGTGCATTGAGATTTAATGCTATAACGAGTACTCAAACAATATATTTCACTTTGTGTTTCTATGGGGGTGCAAACTGTTGAAATCCTTACTTAATGCATACTAAACTGATCTTCTGTAACAAAAAAAAAAAAAAAAAAGAAATTATCAATTCCCAACTTGACTCTCACTGGGATTAAACATGACAATAGGTCTGATCTGATTTCACCATCATTTAAAAAATCATCTATTATTTTTCACTTTATGTTTCTGTGTGGGAGCAAACTGTTGAAATCCTTACTTAAGGTATACTAAGCTGATCTTCTGTATATTAAGATAATCGAAAATGAATCTTGATGTGAATGGAAGGGGAGAGGGAGTGGGAAAGGGGAGGGTTGTGGGTGGGAGGGACGGTATGTGGGGGAAGCCATTGTAATCCATAAGTCGTACTTTGGAAATTTATATTCATTAAATAAAAGTTAAAAAAAAAGAAAAAAAAGTAAAGGACAAAAAGAAAGGAAGGAAGGAGAAGGAATTAAGGGAGGGAGGATAAAGGAAGGGAAATATGGTTAGCTTCTTAGAATTGTACTTGTGAAACACATGAAATCTGTTCTCTTTATATTAATTAAATAATGAACAAGAAGTGTTTTCTCTGACCCTATCATCTAGAATAAATTGCAGAGAATTGGTATAATTTTGTTATTAAACGTCTTATAGAATTTACCAGTAAACCACCTGAGACTAGTGCTTTGGATTTTTATTGGTTATTGAATTAATTTCTCCAATAGGTATATTCCTATTCAGATCACTGATTTCTTCTTGTGTTAGTTTTCCTAGTTTGACTTTAAAGGAATTGGTGTATGTCATCCAGGTTACTAAACTTGTGAGCATAGAATTGTTTATAGTATTCTTTATTTGTGGTCATAGGGGTTTTCATAGTATTATTTTATTATCATTTTAATGCTACGGGATCAGAAGAAATATGTATCACATGTGTTGATACTCTTATCATTTACATATACACTAAGAATTGTTACATTTTCTTGACCACTTTAATATTATATAATGACCTTCTCTATCCCTGCTAACTTTGCTCTGGTGTATATTCTGAAATAAATATAATAACTCACATTTTTTCTTTGGTAGGTATTAGCCTGGGCTATCTCTTTCCATTCATTTACTTTTCTTTTAAGGGAAAGAGTTTATTGGGGGAAACCTAACAGACTGGAGGGAAGGGGCGAAGAAGGAAAAGAGGGAAAAGGAGAGCGTAAGAGAGAGAGACAGAGACAGAGTTCAGGAGACAGAGAGCGAGTACCACGCATTCAGGAGCAGGTCCTTTTAAAACTTTGGGGGGGGGGGAGTAGGAGCAGCAAATCCCATTAGGATGGGGGTGGAGCTTGACACCAGTGGTTGGGCCATGTGGCCACTTGGTTTCCAGCAATGGCGGCAGGGACTAGAGCCTAGGCTGGTGTCAAGGTGTAGATGCGCCATAGATTAGACTGCACCATATTACTAATATTCCCCCCTTTTGTTTTTTATAAAGCAGGAGTTGTATGGGATTACATTAGTCCCAAAAGTCCAGGAGGGGTACAGGGACAATGATCTGTCTTTAGAGCTACTTCCTGTTGACACATCCATTTACTTTTAATTTAAGACAATCTTTACATTTAAAGTGGAATTCTTATAGACAACATATATAGGTTCTTAAATTTTGACCCACTCTGATGACCTCTCTTTTAATTGGTACATTTACAGCATTGATATTCAAAGGATTGATATAGTTGAGTAAGTATCATTCATTACCGTTTTCTATCTACTGTCTATATTTTATGTTCCTGTTGTTTATTTCCACTCTTTCTGCCTTTTGTAATTTTAATACAGCATCTTCTGTGATCTTATTTTCTCTTAGTTATAAATTATCCTACTTTTTTAGTGGTTTACTTAAAGTTTGCAATATACATTTACAACTGTATCAGATTAACTTTCAATCAGCACTGCATTGCTTACAAATAATGCCAATCCCTTATAATAACAAAAGAATCCCAATTCCTTTCTTCCTAATTCATTCTTCTTTTGTATCGTTTCTGCCATTAATTTCACTTAGGCAGAAGTATATGTATATATACACATATGCATTCAAAAATAATTAAATTATTATTTTTTAATAAAGTGTTATGTGTTGGATCAATTAAGAAACAAAATCTTCACAATTTTTCTCTAATGCGCTTCCTTTCTTTACATAGATCCCAATTTCTGATCTACATCATCTTCCTTTCTAAGAAAGTCTTTAAAAAAACTTATTTTTTTAAATTTGTTTATTTTGAAAGTCACAGTTACCAAAAAAGAGAGATTATCTGCTAGTTCACTCCCCAGATGGCCACAGCAGCCACGGTTAGGGGCCAGGAGCCAGGAGCTCCATCCAGGTCTCCCATGTGGGTGGCAGGGGCATAAACACTTGGGCCATCTTTCATTGCCTTTCTCGGGCTATTAGCAGAGAACTATATCAGAAGCAGAGCAGCTGGGACATGAACCAATATGGGTGCCAGCTTCGTGGGTGGTAGCTTTACCTGCTATGCCACAGTGCTAGCCCCCTAAAGAACTTCTTACAACATTCCTTGCAAAACAGGGTTTCTGGCAACAAATTCCCTCAATTTTTGTTTGAGAAAGTCTTTATTTCTTTTGCTTTAGTGGGGGGATAACTTGTCCCGATATGGAATTATAGATTGTTGCATGTTGTTTTTGTTTTTCTCAGCACTTTTTAACTCCATTCTCTTCACACTTGAATGTTTTCTTGAGAGAACTTGGATGTAATCCTTATCTTTGCTCCTATGTAGTTGACACATTTTTCCCACAGGTTTCTTTCAGGATTTTTTTCATTATCTTTGCTTCTCAATCATTTTCATATGATAGTTTAGGGTATAGTTTTCTTGACATTTATCCTCTTCTTGGTGTTTTCTGAGCTTCCAGGATCTGTTAAAGGAGGAAATTATCCATCATGATGTCTCAACTATTTATTATCTATCTTTATTCCTTTTCTTCTGGCTATTCTCATTACATACATATACACCTTTTGTCCCAGTTCTTAGATACCTTTCTATTCTTTTTCACTTCTTTTCTACTCTTTTCAGTTTAGAGATTTCTGTTGCAATATCCTCAAGCTCAAAGATTCTTTCCTTGATTGTACTCAGTCTACTAATGAGGTCATCAAAGGCATTCTTCATTTCTGTTATAATGTTTTTGATCTTTAGCATTTCTTCTTGGCTCCTTCCTCCTGGACTAGCAGAGAGGTGCAAGCTAAGGCTGAAAGCAATCTGGAATGAATAGCAAGGGAGGAAAAGCATATCATTGAGGGGATTGAGGTCACCTGCAATAACAAGGACTAGATTACTTGAGCTATCAGCTGCTGCTTCCCAGGTGCACAATAGTAGGAAGCTGGATTGTAAGCAGAGGAGCTGTGACCCAAATCAGGCACACCACTATGGGATGTCAATGCCAAGTGGTTCCTTAATGGCTGCACCAATGTCTGCCACAGATTGCAAAAGTTTTTCTACAAAATAAATGTATTATTCAGTTCCAGTTTCTATGAACATTTGGAAATTCTCTCTAAACACTCAATAAACTTCCTTTCTGGGCAAAATGACTTTCAATAGTCATTCATGGCCGGCGCCGCGGCTCAACAGGCTAATCCTCCGCCTAGCGGCGCCGGCACACCGGGTTCTAGTCCCGGTCGGGGTGCCGCATTCTGTCCAGGTTGCCCCTCTTCCAGGCCAGCTCTCTGCTGTGGCCCAGGAGTGCAGTGGAGGATGGCCCAAGTGCTTGGGCCCTGCACCAGCATGGGAGACCAGGAGAAGCACCTGAGTCCTGCCTTCAGATCAGCTTGGTGCGCCGGCCGCAGCGCGCCGGCCATGGCAGCCATTGGAGGGTGAACCAACGGCCAAAGGAAGACCTTTCTCTCTGTCTCTCTCTCTCATTGTCCACTCTGCCTGTCAAAAAAAAAAAAAAAAGTCATTCATCCAGTTAATCTTTATAGAGCACTAAATGCAGGTTTTTTGGTGCCCAGATAAGTCAATGCAGAGCCATTTCCATTTTATGATCTAAACAGATTTTATGATTTAAACTGAATCTGAAATAGGGAAATTTGTGATGATGTATTCAACAAAAGAATTCTCATAACACAACTTTGTAAGAATTCTGTATAGCCTGAAAGCTCAGAGCAATGTATGTTGAACTTACTGCTGACTACTCCTATGGAGAAGAAAAATGCAGTAGGGCACCCAGCACATGTGCATTGAGGGTGCTGTTGGACAGAAGCATTAGAGAAATTAGAATACCAGGGTTGAACAAATGACATTAACTATACTCAAGTAATGCCACTATGGATAACATAAATCTGATTGAAATGACCGGTTAGGGGATTCTGTTCTGAATAAACAAACTTTAAAACTTAATTTCCTAAAGAACAGGCCATCAAAGAAGGAGGTACCTTTCTCTGAAGGGAGGAGAGAACTTCCACTTTGACTATGACCTTGTCTAAAAAAGATCAGAGTCAGTGAACTCAAAAGGCTTCCATAGCCTTGGCAACTCATGACAAGAGCCTAGGGAGATTACTGACGCCATAAACAAGAGTGTCAACAACAGGAGTCACTGTGCACTTACTCCTCATGTGGGATCTCTGTCCTTAATGTGCTGTACATTGTGATTTAATGCTGTAACTACTACTGAAACAGTATTTTACACTTTGTGTTTCTGTGTGGGTGTAAACTGTTGAAATCTTTACTTAATGTATGCTAAACTGATCTTCTGTATATAAAGAGAATTGAAAATGAAAAAAGAACCTTAATTTCCTAATGAATGTGCTTATTCCATGTTTGGATAACACACGTGCACAAATACAAAAACAAGCTAAAATATCTCGGGAACAACTGATGGTGGTGTTTTCATTTATTTCTGCAAAAAAAAATATGTCTTAAAGCTAATGTAGGAAATCATAGTGTCTAAGATGCAGAAGTTCATGTGTTTTAAGCATTTCCTCTCATCAAGTTCCTCTTACAATTATGTTGAAGCATGTTATCTTTTTATGAAGCATATTATATTTGATGCTTAACTGAGCAGAGATCTTCAAGAATTTGGGTGATTGTAGGGTGACTCCTTCAAATAAGTAGTTGATTTTGTTTTCTTTCTTTTAGTGACATATAAGCACAAAGTAGAAATATTTTTAATAAAAAAAGTAACTCAAAATATCTCAGCCTCAAATTCATGTGTCTCCATCTAAAAGATTTTGTTGTTGTTTTTGTTGTTCAGTGGCAAGCCCCTATACCCACTGGACAATTATTGAATGTTTGAGAACTTGCTTAGAAATGATCAATGTTTTGTCTCCCATCATCCTGCATTTCTCTTTCCAACAGTGTCTTTTTTTTTTTTTTTTTTTTTTTTGACAGGCAGAGTGGACAGTGAGAGAGAGAGACAGAGAGAAAGGTCTTCCTTTGCCGTTGGTTCACCCTCCAATGGCCGCCGCGGCCAACGCACTGCGGCCCTCACACCACGCTGATCAGATGGCAGGAGCCAGGTGCTTCTCCTGGTCTCCCATGGGGTGCAGGGCCCAAGCACTTGGGCCATCCTCCACTGCACTCCCTGGCCACACGAGAGAGCTGACCTGGAAGAGGGGCAACCGGGACAGAATCCGGTGCCCTGACTGGGACTAGAACCCCGTGTGCCGGCGCCACAAGGCAGAGGATTAGCCTAGTGAGCCGCGGTGCCGGCCCCAACAGTGTCTTTAAATATAAGTAGATGAACTGGGCCAAACCCAGTAACAATATACACAGAAATTAGGCTACCAGTCCTTTTTTACTTGAGATAGAAAAGTAAAACATAGAGACTGGTGCTGCTGCTCAATAGGGTAATCCTCCGCCTAGCGGCGCCGGCACACCGGGTTCTAGTCCCGGTCGGGGCGCCGGATTCTGTCCCGGTTGCCCCTCTTCCAGGCCAGCTCTCTGCTGTGGCCAGGGAGTGCAATGGAGGATGGCCCAAGTGCTTGGGCCCTGCACCAGCATGGGAGACCAGGAGAAGCACCTGGCTCCTGGCTTCGGATCAGTGAGATGTGCCGGCCGCGGCAGCCATTGGAGGGTGAACCAACGGCCAAAGGAAGACCTTTCTCTCTGTCTCTCTCTCTCATTGTCCACTCTACCTGTCAAAAATAATAATAATAAATAAATAAATAAAGAAAAGTAAAACATAGAGTTGAAATCTATTTAATTCAGAGAACAAATCAGGATTCTCAGGGACCCTGACACAACAGTACACTATTACAGATAAAGTGTAGCTGGCTGCAACGGTCAAACATTTCAAACCTATAAAATATCTTTTCACATTTTGACATATGTTTGTTCTCCCATGTTGGAGTGTCTCTTGCCCCTAACCAAAAAAAAAAAAAAAAAAACCAAAACCAAAAACAAACAAACAAAAAAAAAAATAACTGTAAATTGAAGAGTTAAACCAACAAGAGAGATGCCAGTACATACAAAAGAGAAGAAAGGAGATAGAATGAGGGTGAAGTTTGTATCACAATATAAATATGCAGCATGAAATGTTTTTAATTTTAATGTAAGTCAGTGGAATTCATCATCAGCCTGAAAAATATGAATGATTGAGTAGGATATTACAAAAAGATGCATGAAAGTATTCCAACTTAGTGCTGCTTCAGGATGGAAGTATGAGCAAAGCTTCTGTCTTATAATCACGTATCTTTGGAGCCCAGCAATGGCATCTCAGACAGAAATAGAATAGAAAATCTGAAAGAGAAAAATTCACATTTGGGAAGCAGTACCATTAGAAGAATTGACTGATAGAACTGGAAAGAAAGAAAGACAGAAAGGTAGTTCAGAGTGGAAGAGCTGAAACACAGGAGGTAAAGATCAGCACCCAAGAGTACAATCACAAACACCCAGCAGAGCTAGAAACACATGCCCCTGAGCTCATAGGAGTTCACTGTTACCAAAACCAACATCCACGTGGCTTGGATCCAGAGACATGTCTTTAAATAAACTCGAACAAAATGAGAAATCCAATCTTCATTTGCATCTCTCAAGAATATTCAAATGGATTCTAGCACATTGTGCACTCCAAGCAGTTGTTAACTGGCATGCCCTCATCTTTCTTCCGTCCCTAACACCTGCCAGCTGCTTTATAGACTTCCTTCCCAGACCAATTCAATGTTAACTTGCCGCTTAGTAGCCTCCTGTCTCGGAATAAGACCTTCTTCTCTGCAATCCTCCTCCAGTTAGCTCAACACTATGGGCTATTAAGAGAATCTACGCACTTTTATTTGTCCATTCTCTCTTCAAGGTCAACTGTCTTGGGAGGGGAAGTATGCAAGCCTCCTCATCGTTGGTTGTTTTGTCTCCTCCTACTAGTTTTGACTGAGGATGTACTTGGTCTCTAAGAAGCAAGGGTCTTATTCATTTTGACACAAAATCATCAAGAGTCAATTAAGCCCTAATGGCCTAAGATATCCATTGTATGTGATGAATTAACTTATTTCCTATACATCTGGAATGGTACCAATTAAGCACCATTCCTGAAAGCATTGAGAAAAGAGTCATTCAGTTCATTTTCTCTGCAGCTTAACTCTCCTGTGGAACTAATTGAGAGGGCTGCTTTGTGAAGTGGACTGTGGTTATATACAATGGCCCTACAAGTTCCATATCCTCAAGAATTATGGTTATAAAATTTCTGAAGGTCTTGAGTACCTGGCATATTAAGTAGCATTTTTTGAACTGATAAATTAATGTCTTGGGACCAGGCAAACCGAAGTCCTAAATGTCAAAGTCCCAATTTCAATGGATAACACACAGCGCCTGAAAAGGATTCAGTTGTACTTTACCCTGTGCCAAGAAAAGTATTACTGCAATGCCTTGCTGGTATTCAACCATGACGACATTGCATTCCATTGTTCTGTCTCTCTCTGCAGAAAA